TCCAGTATTTGAGGGACTGTTACAGAGAGGAGCGGGACAACCTATTTTCCAAAGCACCCGAAGACCAGGAACAATGGATGGAAACTGATCAAGGAGAGATTCAGCTTAGAAATAAGGAGAAACTTTCTGACAGTGAGGACAATCGGGAAACTGAACAGCTTGCCTTCAGAAGTTGTGGGTGCTTCATCACTGGAGGCTTTCTAGAAGAGACTGGACAGCCCCTTGTCAGAAACGGTGCAGGGTCTCCTGCTTGAGCAGGGGGTGGGAGTAGATGACACACAAGATCCCTTTCAACTCTGTAATTTAATTCCCTTCTTTTTCTCCCTCATTTCTGATACTAAGACATGTCTCACTAAAAAGAATCATGGAAGAAAGTAAATGGTTAATTGCTCAGCTGGGCTTCCAGAGAAAAGAAACAAAATACTAGATTCCTCTACACGTATCAAATTTTGCCTTGTATCTGCAATTTAGGTGTTTGAATGGCTACTCCCCTATGTGTAACCTTACATGATTTAAAAGACTAGAACTAGTGCGGAAATCTTTCCCACAAACCAGACAGCCAGGTATCTCTCCTGTGTGAGTCCTCCACTGTATCACCAAATTGGAATTCCAACTGAAACTTCCCCCACAGTTGATACCCTAATATGGTTAATAATAATAATAATGTTGGAAGGGACCTTGGAGGTTTGTCCAACCATCTCCTCAGGCAGGAAACCCTATACCATTTCAGACAAATGGTTGTCCAGTCTTTTCTTAAAAACTTACAGTCTTAGAGCATTCACAACTTCTGGAGGCAGGTTGTTCCACTGATTAATTGTTCTGTCAGGAAAGTTCTAGGTCAGGGCTTTTCAACTTTTTCACCCATTGTACCACTTTTAGGATATGACAACATCCGAGTACCACCAGTCGCCTAGCAAGATGTCAAAAAAAAAAAAAGTGGTAAAGTACAGGTAGTCCTTGACTTACAACAGTTCGCTTAGTGACTTTGAAGTTACAATGGCAATGAAAAAGTGCCCCCCAAGCTACAGCTGTGCAAGACACCTGCCCGCCCGCCCAGCAGCGCTCTTCCTCCTGTTCGAGGTTTTCATTGTGAGCATTTCTGTTGAGGATTGGCAGTGGGGGGGGGGTTTGGTTTTTATTTCCCCCATCTGCTGGGTGGTTGCAGCAGGTTTTGGTCACTTCACATGACCCTGGGACACTGTGACCGTCATAAATATGAATCAGTTGCCAAGCATCTGAATGTAAATCACAAGACCCTGGAGATGCTGCAACATTCCAGCTGATCGGCGCTTCTTCTGGGCTCAGCAGAACTGCCAGGATCAGTGCTGCTTTCCTGCTGATTGGTGCTTCTTCAGGGCTCAGGGGAAGCGCCAGGATCAAGGCCGAGCTCCAGCTAGAGCCTGGCGCTGATCCTGGCGCTTCCCCTGAGCCCTGACAGCCCTGCAGATCCAGCCATCTCTCGCTCAGGCTTGTGCGATGCTACCACCGGTTCAGCTCATTCCCCTCCCCCGCTACCACTTTTCTAGGATGGTTGCGTACCAGCTACCAGGTGCCAATGTACCACAGGTAGTACCCGTACCACTGGTTGAAAAGCCCTGTTCTAGGTTGCTTCTCTCCTTGATTAGTTTCCATCCGTTGCTTCTTGTCCTGCCCTCAGGCGCTTTGGAGAATAGCTTGACTCCCTCTTCTTTGGGGCAGCCCCTGATCTATTGGAAGACTGCTATCATGTCCCCCCTCGTCCTTCTCTTCATTAAGCTAGACATACCCAATTCCAGCAACTGTTTTTTATATCTTTTAGCCTCCAGTCCTCTAATCCAGAGGTCCCCAACTTTTTGGGCACTAGGGACCGTTTCCATGGAGAGAGGATTTTCCATGGGTCAGAGGGGTCGTGGTTTCATGTGCTGCCTGCATCCTGCGGATGGGGATTTGCTTGTTTGCACAGCCTGGTTTCAGGCATGCCATGGCCTAGTGCCGGTCCACGGACCTGGGGTTAAGGACGCCTTTTTACATTGTGGTGACCAAAACTGAATGCAGTATTCCAAGTACGGCCTTACCAAGGCATTGTAAAGTGGTATTAACACTTCACGTGATCTTGATTCTGTCCCTCTGTTAATGCAGCCTACCATTGTGTTGGTTTTTCTGACAGCTGCAGCACACTGCTGGCTCATAATTATGTGATTGTCCACGAGGACTCCGAGATCCCTCGCACAGTTACTAATACTGAGCAAGGTATCACCTATACCAGGGGTCGGCAACCTTAAACACTCAAAGAGCATCTTGGACCCGTTTCCCACAGAAAACACTGGGAGCCACAAAACCCTTTTGACATCTAAAATGAAGATAACACTCTATATCAGTGTTTCTCAACCTTGACAATTTTAAGGCATGTGGACTTCAACCCCCAGAATTCCACAGCCAGCATTTCTGGCTGTGGAATTCTGGGAGTTGAAGTCCACAGGCCTTAAAATTGTCAAGGTTGAGAAACACTGCTCTATATATTGTTTTTTACCTGTATGCTATGTATTAAAAACTAGTGTTGCGTTTATGAAATCAATGAACTGCTCTCTCGCTCCCCCTCCCTCCCATCCCACCACCCTCTCCTGCAGTTCACATGCTCTCCCCCTCCCTCCCTCCCCCCAGCCTCTGCTGCAGTTCACATGGTCTCTCTGCCAAATGAACAGCCCCCACTTGCCGTAGCCCTTTGCTTCTCCCTTGCGCTCATTGCATCCCTTTCACCAGAATCCCCCACATAGAGTTGGAAGAGGCTTCTCAAAAAGGAGGGAGCTACCACGCCCAGGTAACTGATTGAAGGAGCGGTCCAGGTAGGAAGAGGGTGGCCGGAATTGAGCCCAGAGCATCTTTATCATGCATCACCATTATCGAGTGAGAAGGCACCTCCGCAGCCGCTTCTGGCTGCCTTCCTTGCGCTCCAGGGCGTGAATAAGGCGGGCAACTCGTGTTGGCACGACGGTCCTCAACGGCTGTGGGGAGAGCAGCCGGCTTCAGACGCTCCCCAGCCTGGCTCCCAGCCTTGCTTTAAGTCCAATGCCTTCCGTGTTGGACTCCCCCTGCTGCCCCTCCAGTCCCAGCTTCCCTCTGCTCCTTTCCCTGCCTACTTGCTGCTTCTGAGGGGCTGTGGAAACTGCTACCCTGCTTTGGTCCCTGCCCTGGGGTGGCCCCTCCCCTCGTCCCTGAAGATTCCTGCCCGGGGCGGGCAGCATCCGAGGGACTGGGGCCCTGGACAGAAACCACTCGCTTCATGATGCCTTCTCCGCTAGTCCACAGCCAAAGCACAGTCCGGCGGCCAAAAGGAAGTAGCATCTCTGGGCAAAGAGGCGCGGCTCCCGCTCTCCCACCTCTACCTCCCCCACTGCCCGCCAGCATCGCTTTCCCTGGGCCCGGCTGCACCTCCGGGCGGCCTGCTTCCCTGGCTGACTCCCACTGACCTGGCATGCCCTTTTTCGCCGGCGGGCCCTTCTTCTTGGCTTTTGTTTGCTCGCCTGGGCAGCCCGTCGGAGTGTGCCTTCCAGGACAGCGGCGATGGCAAGAGCGAGAAGGTGGGATGGAAGCTCTCAAGCAGCACGCAGGACAGCTCACTCAGGCTCGTGCCCTGCAGCTCCGGCCACTCCGACCAGGTGGGCAAGGATCCCTGAGCAGCCGGCCTCTCCCACGGAGTCAATCGTGCAAAGCCCTCCGGTAGAATTTCTGCCACTGGGTTGTGAGCTTTGTGGTGCAAACACCAGAGCCACCTTGCCCACTGGCTGGCAGATCACGAGGCCTCTCACAGCTCAATGGGCTGACAGTCATTTCAGGCAAGGTGGCTCTGGCGTTCACACAAGGCGTGCAACTCATGGCAAAAAGCGGGCTGCAGCCAAGACTGGACGAGGCGGAAGGCCATGGGGAGTGATCTGGCACCCCGGCAGGGTTGAGCCCCGGCGAGCAGACAAAACCCAAGAAGGACCCACCGGCCAAGAAGGACGCGCCAGGTTAGTGGCAGTTGACCAGGGCAAGCTAGCCCCCAATCTTCAATTCTGTAAAGATCCCTCTGTATCTTAAGCCTATCTTCTGGAGTGTTGGCTATTCCTGCCAGCTTGGTGTTGTCTGCAAGTTTGACGAGTCCCCATCTATCCTCCCATCCAAATCATTGTTGAAGAGCACTGAGCCCAGAACAGAGCCCTGGGGCACCCCAATATGCTCCTCCCACAATATAGATGCGGTAAGTCCAGTTAGCCAGCGTTGAATTCATCTGGTGGTGATGCTAACCCACATTTTTCTATCTTATCAAGTAGTAGGTTGTGGTCTACTTTATCAAATGCCTTACTGAAGACCAAGTAAAAAAAAAAATCTCCTGTGTGAGTCCTCTGGTGTTTTACCCGGCAGGACAGTGATGGCAAACCTTTTAGAGACTGAGTGTCCAAACTGCAACCCAAAACCCACTTATGCATCGTCGAGTGCCAGGTGGGTGTGGCCCATTGGGTGGGCGTGGCTGCAGTGGTAACAGCAGACTGGGTGGGACTAAAACGTTCAATCAATTCTAACTTTGCAAGATCTTTTTTTCCCCGCGAGTTGAAATTGACTGATTGAACCTTTTTTTTTTTGCACACGGCGGCGGAGGCCTAAAGCGAAAAGGTTTTATAAAACCCAGCTGAAGGCCTAGGACTGGGGCAACAGCGCGCGTGCCCACAGAGAGGGCTCTGAGTGCCGCCTCTGGCACCCGTGCCATAGCTTTGCCACCATTGAGGTAGGAATTCTAACTGAAATTTTTCCCACAATCTGGACACTCATACAGTCTCTCTCTGCTCTGTTAGTCTTCTGGTGCTTCACCAGTTCAGATTTGCAACTGAAACTGACATTCTGGACACTCAGTTTCTCTCCTGTGTCAGCCTTCTGGTGTATCACCAGGTGGAAATTCCAACTGAATCTATTCCACAATCCAGGCACTCATATAGTTTTTCTCCTGTGTTGAGTATTCTGGTGTTTCACCATGTTGGAACTCTGACTGAAACCTTTCCCACACTCTGGGCACTCATACGGTTTCTCTCCTGTGTGAGTCCTCTGGTGTTTCACCATGTTCGAACTCTGACTGAAACCTTTCCCACACTCTGGGCACTTATACGGTTTCTCTCCTGTGTGAGTCCTTTGATGATTGACCAGGTAAGATTTCGAAGAGAAACCTTTCCCACACTCTGGGCACTCATACGGTTTCTCTCCTGTGTGAGTCCTTTGATGATCAACCAGGTAAGATTTCGAAGAGAAACCTTTCCCACACTCTGGGCACTCATACGGTTTCTCTCCTGTGTGAATCCTCTGGTGTATCACCATGTTGGAACTCTGTCTGAAGCATTTCCCACACTCTGGGCACTCATACGGTTTCTCTCCTGTGTGAGTCCTCTGGTGTATCATCAGTTGGGAACTCTGACTGAAACATTTCCCACACTCTGGACACTCATACGGTTTCTCTCCTGTGTGAGTCCTCTGATGTTCCACAAGAGAGGAATTCTCACTGAATGTTTTCCCACAATCTGGACACTCATATGGTTTCTCTCCTGTGTGAGTTCTCTTGTGACTCACCAGGTGAGAATTCTGACTGAAACTTTTTCCACAATACAGACACTCATATGGTTTCTCTCCTGTGTGAGTTCTCTGGTGTCTCACCAACTTGAAATTTTGAGTGAAACCTTTCCCACAATGCAGACACTCATACAGTCTCTCTCCTCTGTGAGTCTTCTGGTGCTTCACCAATTCAGATTTGCAACTAAAACTTTCCCGACATTCTGGACACTCATGCAATTTTTCTCCTGTGTGAGTCTTCTGGTGTATCACCAGTTGGAAATTCCAACTGAATCTATTCCCACAATCCAGGCACTCATATGTTTTTTCTCCTATATGTGTCTTCTGGTGAATCACCAAGTTGGAATTCCGATGGAAACTTTTCCCACAATCCATACACTGATACTGTTTGTCCCCTGTGTGAGTCCTCTGGTGTTTCACCATGTAGGAATACTGACTGAAACCTTTCCCACACTCTGGGCACTCATACGGTTTCTCTCCTGTGTGAGTCCTCTGGTGTATCACCATGTAGGAACTCTGACTGAAACATTTTCCACACTCTGAGCACTGATACGGTTTCTCTCCTGTGTGAGTCCTTTGATGATTAACCAGGTCAGATTTCCGAGAGAAACGTTTCCCACACTCTGGGCATTCATACGGTTTCTCTCCTGTGTGAGTCCTCTGGTGTATCACCATATTAGTGGTGCATGCTAAATATTTTGCTACATGGGGATCGCTGATAGAGCTTCTCTCCGGTATGGGTCCTTCCATGAATCATGGGGAAGCCATTCTGAGTAAGGTTTTGGCCACACTCCCAATATCTGTATCACATTTCAGTGGGTGGATTGTCTTGTGCATAATTAGCTGTGATCTGCAACCTCTATTTTCTCACTTTAGGCAGTCTGTGGGGTTTTTTTTTTTCTTCAATTCTTGGATTTTTGAGGAGGCCAAAAATGTTTCTAAGCTTTTACTTGGAGGTTCCTTGAGTCAAGCTTCTCATTCTCTGTTTTCCAGAGTGCTCTTCCTGGCATCCTCTTTTTCTGTAAGATTCACATTAATGCATTAGTTTCATTATTGTTTAACAAATGGCTGCAGGACATGTAAAAGCAGCAAACATTTTTTATGATATATTTGGCATATAGAAGACTAGGAAAATTCAAGTTCAAATATTGATTCAATTATAAAATTCTCTTTTTGGCTTGGATAGATATACGTACACATATTCTCACAGAAATAGACACCTATTTATGTATTTTGATGTGCATATGCATCCGTATATGAATCAGAATAGAGCTGGAAAGCAGGCCAACCCCAGCTCAAGCTAGAGACCCTATATCAGTGATGGCGAACCTTTTAGAGACTGAGTGCCCAAAAACTGGCCCCGTCCCCACTCCACCCCTGCCCTGCCCCCACTCTACCCCCATCCCATCCCTCACCCTGCCTGCCTGCAGGGCCACTCACCACCTCCAGGGCCCGCCACAGATCACCCATGCAGCCCAGCAGCGCCATGGCAGTTGCACCCTCTGCCCGCGCCCCGCATCAACTGTGCGCGATGGGGCATGAGAACAGAGTCTTGTCCACACTGCCTGGCTGCCATGTCCTTGGTTGCGCTGCTCCGCATGGGCCACACTCAGGGGCAACTCTCCTCCAGGGGGGCTGCTGGTGAGGAGAGGGTTGCGGGGGGGAGGTGAGGCTGGGGCAATGACACGTGTGCCCACAGAGAGGGCTCCGAGTGCGACCTCTGGCACGCGTGCCATAGGTTCGCCACCACTGTCCAATACCATTTCAGACAACTGGCTGTCCAATCTTTTCTTAAAAACCTCCAGTTATGAAGCACTCATAACTTTTTTTTTCTTGGTTAGCTGTTTCTGTATCAACAAAACAATCATCAGTAAAACCCAAAATCACGGTATCATTTTCTTCCACCTCAAGGATAAAGTCCAGAAGCAGTTTCCAAGTAGAAACAAAAGTACTTATATTATTTTCTTTTATCAAAACAGTCAATTGAGTCATCTCTGCTAATTCCATCAGTTTTGTAGCCATTCGTCCATGGTAGTGTGGGAAGTCAGCCCCACCAGAGAAAGAAATATTAAAAAGGCAGAAAAATATATTTCCTCAAAAGGATTTTAAAAGCAGAAACCAACCCTGCCCCCAAGTCTCTCCGTCCCAAGCAGAAGCCAGCCCTGTACAAATGCAGATGTAAACCATCAGGAAAGTTGGAGTTAGAAGCTTAGGAAGACAAAGACACCTAAAATCTGCATACCCCACCCATTAGCCCAGCACCAAGGAAGCAGGATATGACCTTGGGACATAATAGGATTAACCTATCACCACCAAGAATACCAGAAAGGCACACCCAGACTCAGATCAGAATACGTGACACAGGACATACAAAGCCTCACTACAGGAACAGGAAGCAACTCCAAACAAAAGGCTTTCAGAGGGTATAAAAACCTACTCCTCACATGTTCTCAGCCCTTTTTTCTCTCCTCTTTCTTGCCAGAACCATTTTCTGTCTGGCTCTTCAATAAACTGCAACCTTCTTTCTAAAGCAGTCACCATGTTGTTTATTTATCCCTGGCTTGGATGAACCAGGATGAAGACTTTTCCTTCAATAGTAGGATTCAAACACCCTTCCATTTTTGTGCATATTTCACTCTTGCTGCCGTCACCATATATAAAATCAAAGTTTCAAATTTTGTTCCCAAGTCTTTTTCCATTAGGCCCAGAAGGAAGGATTCTGGTTTAATATTTATATTTAAGAATTTTCTGCATTAAAATATGAATCCTACTCAAAATATTTCTTTACTTTATCACATGTCCAAGCATCCACAACTTCTGAAGGCAAGCTGTTCCACTACTTGTTCTCACTGTTAGGAAATTTCTCCTCAATTCCAGGTTGCTTCTCTCCTTGATTCCTTTCCACCCATTGTTTCTTGTCCTGCTTTCTGGTGTTTTAGAAAATAAACTGATCCCCTCCTCTTTGTGTCAGACCCTCAAATACTGGAATACTACTATCATGTGCCCCCCCATCCTCCTTTTCTCTAGACTGGTTAAACCCAAATCCTGCAATCGTTCTTCATATGTTTTAGCCTCCAGGCCTTTACATTTTACTTTCTCCCCTTTCCCAGCACAAAATTACTGGCAGAGGTTTTAAATTATACAGCATAAGTAGTAATAACATTTGGGGAGAGAAAGAAGCAGCCGACATGCTTCAGCCTAGTTGCTTCTCTGCTTTTACACCGTGGAGGAAACCAGGCAGCCCTACTTGCTCCCGGCTTCTCCTCCGACCTGCCCTCCACTCACCGTCCAGCTGATGCTTTAGGCCCGGGAAGAGCATCCATGCCACCCTCCATGCCTCCATACTCCCATGGATGAGCCGGAAGAGGAAGTTCCTCTCCTCTTCTACGCTCCTCGACATCCTTTCTAGCAATACTCGATGGTTTTCCTCCCTTCAGCTCCGCTGCGCCCCCTCTGGTTGGATGTCGGATCTCAGCCACCGCTGATGCTGCAATTAGATTGACGGTTCTCCTGGCCCTGTCATGCTTAATGATCAGGCTTCTTAGTGACACAGATGCCAGTTCTAGTTGTGGTCAGTAGGTGAGGACTACTTGAATGTGGATGTCACCAGAGGGGTTGTGGACGATATTTTTTTTTTCAGGACTTGCATGAGCAAAACTGGTGTTTCAAATCTTGCAGAGGCTTTAGGCATCATTTCATCAGTTAAAGCCCCCATATCTCAAAAATTAGATCAGAAAGTTTAACTGTAACCATTTTGGGACGATTTGCAGGCTGAAAACACGTGGATTTTCGACATATATACATTTGTAGCTGTTTGTAGTTGTATTTCTCTCTGCATATATCTGCATCTATATAATCTTATCCCCCAAACCTCCAGCTATACGGTGAATATAAAAAGTCTACACACCCCTTGTAAAATGCCAGGTTTTTGAGATGTAACAAAAAAAAAATAATAGACCAAGATAAATCAACTAGGAATTTTCCCCACCTTTCCTATAATGTATAAACTGTAGAATTCAGTTGAAATGCAAACTGAAATCTTTTCTGGGGAGGAAATGACAATAAAAAACAATTAACATGGTTTCATAAAGATGTGCAGCCTTTCTTGTAGTACTTTTTGATTTTATCACAGCATGCAGAGCAGGAATCCTCGGACCAGCTTCCTGCAAACTGGTTTCCTCCAAGTGTTTTTCTTCAAGCCGCTTGGGAATAATATGGCTGAAAGGTGGGAAGGCTGCTCTGAGCAACTCTGCCCCCTAGCAAGATTTAAACTCCCCAATAACACAGGAAGATCATATTTACCTCCCACTAGATGTGGTTCAGAGGCAATCCCAGTGGGTGCTTCCGGGTTTCTCCTATGTTTCATTGTTCTATTAATAGGACGAAGCTGGCAACCGTTTAGGCAAAAAAGAACTTCATGAACTTTTAGGGAGCGGCAGCGGCTTTTTGTAATAGAATGCACAGAGCTGGAACGAAATGAAACTGTATACGCTTTCTCTCCCCAAGTGTTATTATCCTTATGCCGCATGATTTAAAACTGCTGCCTGTGAGTTTCTGCTGGGAGATTTGGGACGTTTAAGAAATCTTTGTTTTTCATATTTCTTAACCGCCCAGTTCCCTCCGTTTACACGTAACACTTGATTCCTTGAGATTTTATTGACATGTATTTTCCTGGCAAGTGAGGAGTTTCTTGGGCAAAAGGGATGCTTTCTTTCAACGTTTCATAGGATTTGGGCACCATTTTATTTATTAGTGTCTCCCCACCTTCCTAAAAAAAATTACATACGTAACTTCATAGGTGTGTATTTCTGTGTGCGTATACATGTATAATCTGTATAATCCTTAGTATTTTCAGGTATATTTTATAATAACAATTTGCAATGCTAATAATTTGTGATTTATCCAAGCCAAAAAAAAAAAGAATTTCATCTTTGGATGTGGGAGTGAATATTGAAACTTGGATCTTGCTAGTTGTCTATGTGCCCAATGAATTATAATTAACGTTAGTGATTTATCTACCATGGTGATATGTTAGGTTTTTTTCACAGTAACATGGGGTTTTTTTTGCTGTTTTCACAGGTTCTGCAGCCATTCTTTAAACAAGAATGGAAATAGTCCATTAATAATAATCTTTTAGAGAAAGAGGATGCCAAGAGAAGGACTCTGGATAACAGACAACGAGAAACAGCATTAAAATGCAGAACAAAGCATCAACAAAAATCTTTTCTAATTCTTCCAGAATGTGTTTAAACCCTTCTTTTTCCTCAGCAGAGGAGATACAAGGAAGAGAATAACACAAAAAGAGTTTTGAGGTGGAAAAATAGACCAGTGTTTCTCAACCTTGACAATTTTAAGGCATGTGGACTTCAACTCCCAGAATTCCACAGCCAGCAATGCTGGCTGTGGAATTCTGGGAGTTGAAGTCCACATGCCTTAAAATTGTCAAGGTTGAGAAACACTGAAATAGACTATGTGGAATGCAATAAAATATTGCATGTAAAGGTAAAAAGGTATATAACCTCTGTGGGAAGGAAAAGATCCTTTGGATAGCCAAAGTCATTCGTGAAAGACTTTGACGAAGGAAAGAGTGTCTTGAATCAAAGCACCACCAGACAAGCGATTAGAAATATTTTTGGCCTACTCATACGTGCAAGAATATTAGTGTTACAAATACCCGACACA